TGTTGCAGAGGCGCCCAGTCATAAGAGTGGGGTAATGTAGAGGCCTGCAGATGGCAAGGTACCGATCAAATGCCATAACTGCCAGGAAAAAGCACTCTGTCGAGCCCAAGGAGAAGAAGAAGTAGAACTGCAGAAAGCACCCAGAGAAGGAGATGACCTTGGTGTCGGAGAGGAAGTTGGCCAGCATATTGGGGACTGTGGAGGTGACATACCAGATCTCCAGGAAGGAGAAGTTGGCCAGCAGGATGTACATGGGGGTGTGGAGTCTCTGATCCCAGCGCACAGCACAGATGATGGATCCATTGCCCATGAGGGTGAGGAGGTAGACCACGGAGAAGAGCACAAAGAGGAGGATCTGCCCCTGCCTTGGGCAAGGGAAGCCCAGGAGGATGAAGCCAGTGATGGTGCTGGAGTTGCTGGGGTTGCTGAGGCTTTTCATGTGCCTGTGAGCTGTGAAAGCACCAGACGTTACTGAATGACTGGATAAAGCCAGTTGAGGACTCAGATTTATATTTAAATCACTTTGAAAAGAATACATATCGTTATCATTAGTTGCCTAGGAAATATATTGACCTAAATTGATGGCTTTTCCTGTTCTTTGCTCCTCCTCATATTTTCCATTGTAGGCTCAAGAAAACTATTAGAAGTGACAGGCTCTTGTGTGTGTGTGTGTGTGTGTGTGTGTGTGTGTGTGTGTGTGTGTGTGTTTGTACTAGAATACATATATATATATATATATTTGCATCAAACAGGATTTCTTCCATTTTTATGAGAAGTGAAATCTTTGTATCTTTTGGTGGTTGAGTATCTTGTCCTCTGTAACCTTCTACTCTTATGACATCCATAGTTGCTCTTCAAAAACTGAAGTCAGATTAGATCATTCCCTTGTACATGGGCTTCAATTAACTTCCCAATACACTTGGAATAAAATAAAACTTCTAAACTGTGCGTGTGTTTTAATTGACTTCCCTTAGCATCTCGACTTCATCCTCAGTTCTATCGATCTCTTTCCCTCCCTCGCTTCCATTCTCCCTCTTTTTTCGTACACAGGGACAAACACCCATGAATGTAAGCAGTAAACACATCAAACGAGGATTATTGGGTATAAACTGGCCAGCAGTGGGTAACACTTGTATATTATCAGGTGAACTTCCTCATCTCAATAAGGGGTGTGCATTTTTTTTGACTCACCCTGGCCAACATTTCAGCAGAGTGAGATTGCACTGTCCTACCTCTGTAGCATTTTGCATCGAGTTGGAAAATATTTTCTTAAATAATTTAGACTTGTAGGTCATAATTTATCAAAGCTACTCAGTTCTGTTGCTATAGTGAAAAAAAAAGAAAAACCCACAAAGACCCCTCAAACCTATAGATAATCCTGAAATGAACGCATATGGCTACTTTCCAATAAAACTTTAAGTCAAGTGAGAATTAAGATTCATGTAGTTTTTGTGTCACAAAGTCATGCTCTTCCATACATTTTTAAACTTGAGATGTAAAAACAATTCTTAGTTTGGTGCCCATAATAAAAGTAGGCAGTAGGCCGACCTGGCTCACAGGCTGCAATTTTCTAATTCCTGCTCTTAACATTTATAGGGAAAAAAGAGCAAGAACTGTCAAATTGTCTGTAGAATAATGGAAGCTCCTATTGAGCAAGTGACCTTGTTAGGAAAGGAGGGAACTTCTAGAAGTCAGAGATGGAACTATCCTGTTCTACTGTGCTGCCTAAGGCCTCCTGGGTCAACTTGGAGCTAAATCATCACAAAAATGAATTTCCAAAGCTATTGGGTTTGCTTATTTTTGCACACATACATGTACACACACACACACACACACACACACACACACCCAATAACATACATATCTTCCCTATTCTATTCAACACTTAAGTAAGGTAACATTGGATTCCTTCAGTTTTAAGAAACAGTGTTTTCAGGAATCAGGTTCATTGATCTTGTTCTTCAAGTTCACTCAAATTTATCCAAATGCTATTTGTTGAAATAATTATCTATAAGGTCACAATTAGACAGATGATATGTAGACAGAGAATCATCAATTGTTTCACTTAAAGAAAAAGTGAAACTTAGAGAAATAAGATAGAAAACAGGGGCTCTGGCGAAGCCCCCCCAGTGTTGGCCTGACTTGTAAGAATTCCATGCAAAGAGAGCACTGTTTAAGCCAGAGCTTTCTTCTGGCTGTTAAATATAATTATGGCCCTACTCATTTGGTGGAGAAGTAGGAGAAAGGGGATGAAAACTTGAGCAGAATTGAATGATATTTTAAATTTCTGTTATTATAACATGGTCACTTCTGTTCCAATATACCACATTGTACCAAGACTTATGGATATAGAGGTGATATTTTAGTTACATTTACCTCTTAGATGTGAACATCAGTTGGATCACTTGCCACATACAAATGAAGCCAATTTCTCCATGCCAGCTTCTTCTCAGGGCATTTCTCTAGCTTTGAGAGTCTGACTGAGCTTGTCCTAGAAAACAAGAAGTGTATGAAAATGAGTTCCTGTGTGCCAGCACCATTTTATGGTTGACCAAAGCTAGGTGACATAGGTGGAGAGATATGTCTACCAGGAGCTTGCTGTTACTTACTTTCCACCACTTGGCTTCTCTGTTTGGAGAACAGCAGTGGGGTCTTCCTGACACAAACTGAGCTTAATCTGTAGATAAGGTAGATTATTCAGAATTGGCTGAAAAGGAGTTTGTGTATGGCTACAATGTCTTGAATGTTGTGCTTAAATATATACGATGCATAGTCTGATTAACAGTGTAGTCAAACGAGTCCAGCATGCTCACCCCAATAATTTCTCAGGCAAGTTGAGATATACCAGTTTAAATGATCCAGACCCTATGCTATGGCATGTAAAAAGAAAGATACTTGATTTTTCTGATATTTACTTTGGTTTCAAGGTTAGTAAAAGGCACAATGTTGTGAAACCGTGATCGGTCCAATCTTCGCAGCGTTATCTGTCTTATTTGATCTGGACATGAAATTGTCATATCTGTCCCATTTTTGTAAAGTCCTAGAAAATAAAAGTAACCTTCCCAGGGAAAGTGGAGAGGTGGTAGACAATTAAGGCATTGGAGGGAGCAATGGCTTTGAAGTAAGCAGCCGAGGCTTTGAATTACAATCCACATATCACTAACTGTAGAAACTCAGCCCATTCAATGATATAATGATTTATAATGATATAATCATGATATAATGATTTTCTAGTTCCTTCATCTGTAAAATTGCCACAGAACCCCTTCGCAGGAGGGTGGAGGGCTCTGAATGAGTGATGCATATGGAAGCACTTTGTCTAGGGCCCACAAAGTCGTGCTTATGGATTATTTGCTATATGACAAGGAGCTGAAACAAAGCAAAAGATATTTACTTTGAAAGCGTCATTTTTCTAGCTCTTTTGCTCATTTTCTTCTCTGAGTGGTAACCATCTCCTCTCACGGACAAGAGGGAATCCAAGCCTGAAGCTTCTCTGGCTGAGTCTTGTTTTCCTAGAGAAGAAGATACGGTCTCCTCTATAATAACCATCAAGAGTGAGGGAGTAGAGTGATCTCCGAGTGTTTACTGGAGCATGTGGGGTTTATCATCAGAGCCTCCCACGACTGAGCTCTGTTCTTCTGTTCACTGGGGATCAATTTATCACAACCAGGAGAAGAGTGGCAGGAGGCTGCTGTTCTTTCTTCCTCTGGGGTCTGTCTTCTCTGGAGACCATCTGTATTTTTCAGTAGAGTCAAAATACTATCTCTTTTCCCTATGCCTCTCTGGGATGGCATGAGATACAAATAATTTTTTTTCGGTCTTTTTGAAACAGGGTCTCCCTGTATCCCCAGCTGTCCTGGAACTCACTATGTAGACCAGGCTGGAGAGATACAGCCCACTCAAAACATCTACTGTGTGCCCAAGGAGAAGTTTATCAAAGTGGCTCAGGGTGTGTTTGCTGTGATGCAGGACCTTAAAGAATGGTGCCAATGATTTGTTCTGGGGACAGAGCTAGAAAGAAGAGATGGGCTTAAGGTAAGGTGAGACCTCATTTCTAGAAATCTGTACAGCTAGAGCAGGAATCAGTCTTTCCCTAGGACCGCCATTGTCTTCTTAAAAATATGTTTTCCTTTTTTTGGTTTTTGTTTAAGATTAGGTCCCATATCTGAGACAAATATTAGCTTCTCTTTGGCAATGCATCAGGGAGCTGGGCTCTGGGCTTCTCCGTCCTTGATGGACGCATGGGTCTTTTAGCGCATTTTATTTGCTGTTCCTCTTTTTCCAACTGTAGGAGTCTTATGTCAAAGATTTATCAGTTCATTTCACTTTGTTGATTTTCTCCTTTATCTACAGCATACTATTCAAAATTGGCAAAGACTCTAACCTATTATTAGTGTCATTACTGTGGTTACTTTACAACCCCCTGGTTTGTTAGATATCCTTATATCATGGCTACG